ATGTACTTTGTCATTACATAAATAATACATGGACATTGCAGAAAGTATGGAGTAAAAACAATAAAATATGTATTTCCTGTAATTACAGTGCTTGGATATCAATGCTGTTAACACTGTGTTATATTTCCTTTTAATCACTTCTCTTTATAGCATGTACGTATGGGTATTATGAAACTGGAAATACAGTATATGCTTTTGTATCCTAAATTTTTACTGAATATGATATTTTGATTTTTTTGATATTTTGAAACTCTTTAAAATCATCTCTGCTGGCTACATTTTTATAGCACATAGGAATACTGTAATGTATTAATTGTGCTACTGTTGGACATTTACCTGGTTTTCAAATTTTTGCTATTTTGAGGAAGATAGTAGTGAATCTTTGCAATAAATTGTTATTATTTCCTTTGGACAGATTCCTAGAAGTAGAAGTCAAGGGTGACAGGGAATGAAGACTTTCAAGGCTCTTGATACAAATGGCCACACTGATTTATGAAGATATTGTACCTACTTACGCTCCTAAGAGCAGTGTATGCTCGTGCCAGTCTAAATGTGCATCCACCAAGATTGAGAACTATCAGTTAAAGATTCCTAATTTGATAGGTAAAAATATCATTTCATTACTGTTTCTGTTAGAATTTCTTTGATTACAAGTAGGATTCAACATTTTTTAATTTCTTGGTCCATTTTATTTCTTTTGCTGAATTGCTGTTTGATATTTTTATTTATTATTTGATTTTAACATTATTTAATGTATATCTTGCTCTCTTCCTGAAAGGATTTAAGGCAGCTGAAAGAACACAAAATGCAAGGTGGCATAAATTAAAATAGGAAGAAGTGAAAAAAGAAACAACACGAAGCCAGGAATGGTACTTAAAATGCACACTGCAGTGACAATAAATCTGCTATTAGTAGGCAAGAGATTTGCCTGTGAGATCTCCAAATGTTGGCTGAGAAAGAGAATCTTGCCATTTATCAAGTTCACATTGACAATGAGAAAGAGAATGAAAGAACACGAACTAATTGTTCAAGATAAATATAATTAATATTGGTATTAAAATTTGACAAGACTTTTAACTATTTTTCTTATTTTGTGTGTGTGTGTGTGTGTGTGTATTTGTATAAGTTGCTTCCCTTGGATTATTTTACTCTTGATGACTACTTAATGAGGGGATATACTATATTAATGTCGTTTACAATAGCATCTGTCATTTGGGAGTGGTCAATGAGTATTAGCTTTTCTGTTATTTTTACTAGTATTAAGTTTTCAATATCAAATCTCTTGAAGCTTCTATTTCTAATATTAACTTTAATATACTATTTTTAGAAGATTAAGCAACAAACAAAAATGTCCCTTGGGATTTTAAATAGACTTGCTTTAGATCTGTAAACTAAGAAAAAATTTGACATGTTTAAATATTTGGTCTTCCAATTTAGTAACATGGTAGTTTGCTTATTATTAATACAGCTTTATTGAGATATAACTCACATATCATACATCACCCATTTAAAGTGTATAACTCAATGATGTTTAGTATATTGACAAGATGTGTGCAATCATCAGCACATTCAATTTTTGATACGAACCTTATGTTTGTACATTGAACATTACTTTTCATGCAATTCCTATAGAGGATGCTTTCCTCATCTACTATGAATTTTTGTTGCAAGAGTGAATGAAACGTTTCTCTCATATGTTTTCAATCTGGAGGTACACGGGGCCCGTGGGAAGTGCAGCTCTCCTTAGACTATAGTATTTCTTGGTTTTTTTCTTTTGAGAAATTTTCTCCCTAGAACATCTGGTGATCAAATCCACTCATGTTTTTTAAACTTGTCTTATTCTTGTTCTTTTTCCCCGGCTTCTCAATCTCTTAGCTCATGATGGGGTGATCACAGTTGCACCCCTCTTCTTCCAGACTCAGGACTTCTGCGCATGCTGCCTGGTCACCCTGAGATGCTCTCCTAACATCCCACTTCTCAGTAGCTCATTTAATCCTTCAGAGCTCGGCCTGACCTACTTTCCTCAGGGGAAGGGCTTTGGGTGGGGAGGATTCTCCGATTCTCCAGGCAGATCAGGTTTCCTATGAGGCTCTCTGGTTCTGTGTAATTTTTCCTTTACAGTAAAGTTACCATGGTTTAATTCATTAGCTGACTTATGTGCAACCTTGATAAATGTCTCTCTTCCTCACCAAACTCCATGGTGCAAGGACAGTGTCTGTTTTGTTCACTAGTCAATAGCCAGTCACCTACCATGGTGCCTGGAACAGAAGCTGCTCTTATTGGATGAATTAAAGAATGAATGAATGGTTTGGTGTAGTTCAGTTTTCTTTCCCTCACCTCAAGCTCCATTTTCAGGGTCTGTTCGCCTCAGAGTTACGGCATTCCTTTCTCCTTCAAGGCCAGCTTTTATTACATGAATTCACATGTTATATGAGGCAGCCACATGCTGTTATATGAAGATCAATAAAGGTGGTTTTTATAATTTGGGGAAATGCTTATATCTTGCTAGGACTATGCAAATGTCCTTTAATATTTCTGGTTAAAGTTTGTTCTTGACTTCACAGTGGGTCTATTTAATTTTTAATATTTATTTGAATGTTCACCCGGACTGTTTTTCTAATGCAGCATCATAATTTGCCTGTACAAAAATGACACTAACCTCCTATTTTCTCAAAGGAGCTGACATTTAAAAAAAACATATTACGCAACAGGGCTAAAGGGAACATTTTATGTGAGAAGCTAGAAAAGAAGAACTAAAGTCCATTAAAATCAGCAAATAGCTCATTTCAGATGCTCGTGTATCCTTTCAGCTGGGCCAATTCAACTCCAAGGGGGTGGTAGGGTTTTCTTTTTCAATGTACTTTACAAATTATGAAGTGATTTTTTATGCCTTGTCTTATATCTCAGCAGAATGGATATCAGTGGTTGGAAGGTTCTAAGAATGCCCAGGTCTATACCTTAGATCAGAGGCCCAGGTGAAGACCTTGTTGGATAAAAATAATACTGCAGTTTCTATCACCTGTCAATCATCTCATAATGTGAAAGGGAAATGACCTTGGATGATGAGCCAATGGGTGCTTGTTTCCATCTGACTACTTCACTCTATTTTCTACATTGGCTATAATGAATAGTGCTAGTTGTATGTCAGAGAAATACCCATATAATTGCTATGAAATATATCACTCCTAAGATCTTTCCCTCGTGTTTCATGCTTTAAGAGCCCACCTGCGTTGAGGCATGGAGCTTGCTTCCCGGAAGAGTCGGTGGGAGGCCATGAGAAACTACATGTACTTCTTTTAGTGTAAAATAAAATATTCTGGCAAAAATAGTTGAGTGAGGATAGAGCCATCATCCTGAATTTCATTTGCTCAGCAGGCCAGTCCCTTTCCCTTGGGGTTATCTATAAGAGCAGCCAGCAACAAGGTTATTCCTTCCCTCTGACCCATTAGAGGGGAAAAAAAAGGATTCCAGTCTGCCTTGGCTACTGCAACATGTAGTGAATCATAAAATTGGTCTGTCCTGCTCAGCCTTCTGCTTTAAATTTTATTTCTGATTCAAAGTAGTTGGTTGAAGCAAGTGAATCTCAGCTCTGAAATGGTGATGAAATGTTCACATTCTTAACTCTTAACAGTGTTATTAATTGTGTTAAACATATATCTAACATGCTAAACAATTATGATCAAGAAGAAAAATGGGGCTATTATATTCATCGCAAGTTATCTGATAATCGTGATTACAGATACTTATGTAGCAAGGACTCAATTCACTTGTGAAGTGTGTATAAATCAAGACTACAAATCTTACTTTTTAAGTCAAGTATTGCTTAGTCAAATAATCTGGGTATCTTTATATGAAAAAAGAAACCCTATAAGCAAGAGACTTTAACATAAAAACAATACTTGGGAATATACATATATTTTGGGGGGAACCTTAGTGGAAATTCATTTGTTACCTCAAATTAAAAAAAGGTTTAGATGTAGGCTTATCTCACTTCATTAAGAACTTGTTAGCTACAACAGAAAGTTGACTTTTTGCACTACTCACTTTGTCTTGTGGGCTAGGTTAGATTTACAATTTCACCTATCTATTCTGGTACAGTGGAGAATGGAATGATTGTTTCTTTTGTTTAAAAAATTGTCTTACTGCTGCATATAGTTTATCTTTATAGTTTTCCTTTTAAACCCCTAAAGTCATTGCTTCATGTTTCTCATGCATAACATTGTCACTTAATTTTGGCAATCGTTGGTTCTGATTTGTGAAACTCACCACTGCTTTCTCTGTTTACCTGAACTCCACCCTCCTCCTTCCCTCTACGTGTAGGGTCAAATATCCAGGATATGAAAGGTAGCCTAGATTAGATATGTTCTTCTTAATTGTCCTTGGACAATTGTAACATAACTCTTGGTGACCTCTCCCCAACCCAAGGTGGCCGGCTATACAGCTTTCCTTACCCTGTAAGGACACCCTGTTCTTAGCTAACCTTGCCACCTCAGTTCTGCACTTCTATACCGTTGAGTTCTCTAGCATCTGACTTTGGGAGCTTATGATAAAATATTAGTTCTTTCCATTTTACTATTTTTAATGGCAGAAAAAAAAGATTCTTTGCCATTTAAAGTATGGATCTCACTATTTATTTTCCAAGAGAAGTAATTAATTCATAATGAAATCTACTTTGGGTAAATATACTTTGTAAGGCTATTCCCTGATAGCTATTTTGCCAGTCAAATAACACAAGGAAAAATTGCGCTAATAGACATCTCTTCCAGAAAGTCTTTCTCTAGAACAAACACCCCCTGAAACTCGCCACTATTTTTGTTTCATGTAATACAGCAATAAAATATTTAATTCAATAAGGCAAGAGATTTTTGGACTAGTCTCCATAGAGGGCTGAGAGAATATTTTGTGTTAGATGAAAGAACATAGACATACTACAGCACAGGACACAATATATGGAATTATAACAAACAATAAAGAGAGCTAGAGTAAAAATCAAATATTACCTTAGGGTCATGTATTCCAGAAAGCTCTTCATAGATCTTCTCACCCACCATGACAGCCGCCAAGTTTGCTGTGTATGTAGAAAGGCAAAACATACAGAAGATGGCCCAAAGGTTCATTAGGAACCTTCCAGTCCAGCATTTTGGGGGTTTGATTGCTGCCGTTCTACCAAACAAGAGGGCATAACAGACATTCAAGGCTGAAGAGAAGGAGAAAACTTTACTCCTATTCCGCCCCTTGGGAGTCAGACCAAAGGGACTCTTCCATTCATACAGAGTGAGGAAGATGGCAGTGATGTGCAAAGCCACAAAAATCCCTAGCCACAATGTCCAGTGGAGTGGCCACATGAAGGCTCCAATGGGAGCTGCTGTGTCTCGGGTCTTTACTAAGATGCCCAAGCTGGTGGAGAAAAAAGGACTGGTAAAATCTATTACCTGGCTTCGTGCAGTATTGATGCTGAAGGAAGTGACTGCCATGTGGGCTGACCCACTCAGAAGATCACCCACCAGTCCAGTCCAGTGCCCATTTTTCCAGGCCCCATACTTTCCATCTCCAACAATATAGAGGTCAAAGTCAAAGTTCATGTCTTCTGCTAGCTTCTCCAGCAGATCAATGCAATATCCATAGCAGCACTTCTTGAGTTTGATGGGCACTGTATCATTACTGCTATGAAGGCTACTAAAAAGGTTGTCCAATGTGGAAGAGTCATTAGTCATGGGGTCTAGGCAGAGTTGGCCTGCAGGGCACAAGCCTTCATCATCTACCTCCCGTGTGAAGACAAATGGATGCTCGATCAGGGTAACCACTCTCAAGTGTAGCTTACTTGGGTACTGGAAGTGGGTTTTGTGCCTCTGGGCCTGCTCTGGCCATATTCCGTAGTCCATGACCACATTTCCCTCCTGCCAGCTGCCCAAGCGTGTCCACATTGGCTTTCCCATGGGGTCATGTTGCAGATTCCAGATGAAAAAGTTGTTGTCTGAACTGATGATGGAGGAACCTTTTACTTTGATGGAACCACTGAGGCCTCTGAAAGTGGTGTTGGCTAGAAACCTGGCAAAGAAGAGCAAGGGCAAAAAGTAAGAGGGAGAGGTGAAGCCAAAGACAGGCAGCTGTGTTCATTTTGCTTTTCTGCCACAGAAAAAAGAAACTCTACTCTTTTTAAAAAGGCACTGCCTATAATTTTTTTTTCCTGGAATTAATAAGCTGGTCTCTTTCTAGGAGAAGAGTCTTATCTCATTGAGCCAATGAAATCTCATCCTCAGGCTCTAAACACCCAGGTTAGACTTGGCTCTTGGTCTTACTCCAAATTTCTCTATTCCTACTTGATGGTGGTGGTAATTGTTTTCTGTTGGTAGCTGTAAATTATATATTTAACAAGCTATGGTGTTTCTCAGCATCTTTAACATGTGTCATGTCTGCTGGTCACCACATTTGATTGCAACTCAATCAGCTCAATAAATAGTTTTTGGTGTGAAGAATAAATTTTGGCAAGTATGCATATACTTTTATAATAGCTTAAAAATTGCATTCATGATTCTAGAAAATAGCCAAATCTTGTTATCAGTGTTTTTGCCTGGTAGAATGAAAACAATCAACATATTTATTCCCATGAGGCCAGTTAGAGTTGTATGTAGACTATCGTCCATGGAACAAAGAAAAAGATGATAAATAGATTCCCTCAGGCTACCCTCCCCCTAAGTCATTAGAGAAAAACAATTGGCTCTGGCGCTAGGAAGAGCTTCTGCCAGAAGTCCCACGAAGGAAAATTACCAACTGAATGTTACACTGATTCCCAACCCTGTGAACCAGGGCACTGTCAGAACGTATATATTTTGATATGAATGGAACAGGAAAATGCTTGGTCAGAACCCTTGTCTTTCTTGAGTATGGGAAGATGAGACAATAAGAGTTAACATGTAAGTTTGTGGCATTTCACTCTTAATTAGGACCTAGTGTCAGAATAAAAGGCCACAGTTTGACATCAGACACACCTGTGTTTGAATACTATCTTTGTTCTTGTACCTATTCCTCTAAATGGAATCTTACAACAGGTGCCTTTTTTGTGTCTGCTCACATATTATTGTTTATTTTTATCTGAAATAGAATTTTGATTATTTCAAAGGGAAATTCCAGGTAGATTAGTGATCATAATTTTTTTTACAAAATTTATGTAACAAAATTTATGTGTTGATAATCATGGGGAAGAGACAACTGTGCTAAGTGTGGCCCCCGGGCCAGAAGCCAGCCAGGAGTATTCCAGAAAATTCAAGAGGAGGGAAGACCCCCCAAGCTCATTTTACCAAGCCAGCATTATCCTAATACTAAAACCAGATAAAGGCACCACAAAGAAAGAAAATTTTAAGCCAATATCCCTGATAAACATAGAAGCAAAAATCTTCAAAAAATATTAGCAAACCGAATACAGCAATACATTAAAAAGATCATACACTGTGATCAAGTGGGATTTATTCCTGGGATGCAAGCTTGGCACAATATCTGCAAATCAATTAATGCGATGTACTACATAAACAAAATGAAGGATAAAAATTGTATGATCATATCAATAAGATGCAGAAAGAGCATTTGATAAAATGTAGCATAGCATCCATTTACAGTAAAAAAACTCTCAGCAAATTGGGAATAGAGGGAACATATCTGCATACAATACAGGCCATATATAACAAACCTACAGCCAACATTCTACTTAATGGGCGAAATCTACAAGCGTCTCCTTTCAGATAGGGGAAAAGGCAGGGGTGTCTGCTTTCACCACTCTTATCCAACATAGTAGTGGAAGTCCTAGCCACAGCAATCAGGCAAGAAGAGGAATTTAAAGGCATCCAAATTGGAAAGGAAGAAGTAAAACTGTCATTATTTGCAGATGACATGGTACTGTACGGAGAGAACCCTAAAGATTCCACCTAGAAACTACTGAAACTGATAAATGGATTCATCAAACTAGCAGGATAAAAAATTAATATCCAAAAATCAGTTGCATTTTTACACACCAATAGTGAACTATCAGAAAGGGAAACTGAGAAAACATCCCATTTACAATTGAATAAAAAAAAATAAAAATAAAATGCTTAGGAATATAGTTAACCAAGGATGTAAAATATCTGTACTTGGTAAATTATAAGACACTGAAGAAAGAAACTGAACATATAGCAAGGACTCATGGACAAAACCAAAGGGGAAGAGCTGAGGGAGGGAAGGAGGGAGGGGGCAAGGGAAAGTGGTGGGGGTTAGACAGAGACAAATGTATTTGAAAAAATAAATTAAAATTAAAAAATAAATAAATAAATAAAGAAATTGAAGAAAATACAAATAAGTGGAAGTACATACCATGTTTAGGGGTGGGAAGAATGAACATCATTGAATTGTGCATGCTACCCAAAGCAATCTATAGATGCAATGGGATTCCAATTAAGATTCCAATGCTGTATTTCACAGAACTAGAAGAAATATTTCAAAAGTTTATATAGAACCACAAAAGAACCACATAGCAGTAGTGGTCTGAGAAAGAAGAACAAAGTTGGAGGAATCGTGCTACCTAGTATAAAACTATAAGTCCAGAGTAATCAAAACAGCATGGTACTGGCATAAACACTGACACATAGATCAATGGAATAGAACAGAGAGCCCAGAAATAAACCCACACCTTTATAGTCTATTAATATTTGACAGAGGAAATAAGCACATATAGTGGGCTAAAGATAATTTATTCAACAGATGGTGTTGGGAAAATTGGACAGATATGTGTAGAAAAATGAAACTAGACCACCTTCTTATGCCACACACAAGAATAAATTCAAATGGATTAAAGACTTAAATGTTAGCCCCCAAACCATAAAAATCCTAGAAAAAATCATAGGCAGTAAAATCTCAGACATTGCTTGTAGTAATATTTTATGTGATATACTGCCTCAGGCAAGGGAAAGAAAGAAAAATAAACAAATGGGACTACATAAAACTAAAAGGTTTTTGCACAGCAAAGGAAACCATGAACAAAATAAAAAAGACAACCCATGGTATGGGACAACGTATTCATCAATGCATCTGATAAGGCATTAATATCCAAAATTTATAAAAATTTATAAAACTCAACACTAATTAAAAGAAAAACAAACCCAAAACATCCAATTTAAAAATTCAGTGCAAAGGACCTGAATAGACATTTCTCCAAAGAGAACATACATATAGCCAATACATATATGAAAAGATGCTCAACATCACTAATCATCAGAGAAATGTAAATTAAAACCACAATGATATAGCTACACACAGATCAGAATGGCAATCAGCAATAAATCAACCTGTTAGCATTGTCCTTGGACAACTTACTGAACTCTAGCCTTCAGTTTCGTAATCAGCAAAATGGGAAAGATAATACTTGCTCCACTAGAAGGATTGGAAATAATGCACTTAAAGCACATACCACACCTTCTCGCATAAAACAAATATTCCAAATATGGGAGCATTTTTTAGTGTCATTCAAGTTATTTCAATTAAGGCTGCCCCCAGGTCGTTTTCCTGTCTTTTATTATAATTTTTCTAGTTGGAGACACAAAATATTGTATTATGATAAACTCATGGAAGTTACTCAAAACACATTTAAAATGGAAAGGAATTAAATTGAAATGTAGAATGTGCCATAGAAAGTTTTTTTTTTTTTTTTTAGGAATAGATAATACAAACCTAGGCTTTCAGCAAAACATATTCATCCATCGCCTGCCACAAACATTATCCAGTAATCACAAGTGCAAATACAAAGAGTAAGAAGTTATGCTGCCCCGGAAGGGAGATAGAAAAATCAGAAAGTCTGAAGAATGTACTAATCTTCATTAGTGATATAAATGTAATTCACATTTGAAGATGTTAACATCACTAAATGTAATGAAACTACTCATTTTGGTAGATTTGTGTGTAATGGTAGTTATTCATGTTAGCACTCCCCAGTGGGGTTCAACCACATAAAATGAGTTCGATTTTGCAACAATAATGAAGTCTCAGTTATTTTAGACTTTAAAACAGCCTTCTGCATCTTTAGAGAAGTAGGGATCCAAGTCATTAAAATATACAGATTAATCAATTGATAATTACCTACGTACTACAAGGAAAGGGTGACTACAATTGTGTTTCTGATGAACAATCTACTTTTAGATTTGTTCAAAAACACACAAAACGCACATGCGCAATTGCTGACATAGCCTAGGGAATAAAATGGTAAATAGGTTAATTTCATTTGGTTAATTCAGTGATTGGGAAAGTAAAGTTAAAGTTGTAGAAAGAGGGGTCCTTCATTATTTTAAGAATATTGGGACTTACTGATTACAGGTTTTTAACTGGATGGACCCTTGACAGACTATCAATGAATAAATATATACTTAAATTATCTCAGAAAAGAACGCACTGGAAGTCATCAGAAATCCTTCAGAAATTATGTAACTCTCTCATGGCAGTAAAACAATTCCTCCTCCTATTGTTAGCATTCAAGGTGGCCATGACTAAGTGCTCAGTTGTCTTCGAGGCATTCATTTGTCACAGAAAGGCAAATCAATCAGGATCTAGAGGTCTTCAGTGTTCCCAGACTGTAGTGCTTGTTTCACTGTGTAATTGGCACCAAGAAACTGGGTCTCAGAGAATCCCCACTTATGACAGATTATTTCTATCTCTTTTATTTTCAGTGTTATGGTGAGGGTAAATTGAAATGATCTCGTTGATAGCTTTCAGAGTCACACCTCACACTGTCTTTTAATGACAATGTGAGGCAAAGTTTCAATGATCACTATGTCAATTAAAAGACTGAAATCCTAATTCTGTATGAGTCAAATCCTACCATGTCCATTTTGATCTTGCTCATGTCTCTCCTAGGGTGAACAAGAAAAAAAATTATGAATAATTTTATTGGCAAGATAAACATACCAACACCAGGCGCTGTTCTTAGCACTAAAGTTACAGAGATGAAAGACACATTTGTTCACAAATGGATCAAAGCATAGGAATGGCGAGAAAGCAGAGTGAACAGGCAATTCTAAACTAGTGTATGC